CTCTCCCTCTCTTCCTTTTCTCTCTCTCCCTTTCTTCTTTCTTCTTCTCTCTTCTCTCCCTTTATTCTTCTTCTCTCTTCTCTCTCTCTCTCTCTCCTCTCTCTCTCTCTCTCTCTCTCTCTTCTCTCTCTCTCTCTCCTTCTCTCTCTCTTCTCTCTCTCTCTCTTCTTCTTCCTTCTCTCTCTCTTCTCTCTCTCTCTCTCTCTCTCTCTCTCTCTTCTTTCTTCTCTCTCTCTTCCTTCTCTCTCTCCCTTTCTTCTTCCTTCTCTCTCTCCCTCGTTCTCTTCCCCTCTCTTCTTCCTTCTCTATACCTCTCTCCCTCTTCCTCTCTCTCCATCCTTTTCTCCCTTTCTTCCTCCTTCTGTCTCTCTCTCCCTCTCTTCCTTCTTCTCTCTCTTTCCCTCCTTCTCCGTCTCACTCTCTTCCACCTTCTTCTCTCTCCCTCTCTCTCTCTCTCTCTCTCTTCTCTCTCTCCCTCTCTCCTCTTCTCTCTCCTCTCTTCTCTCTCCTCTCTCTTTCTCTTTCTCTCTCTTACAGTGGTCACATTAGTGTCGTTCCTGTCTCCTCCCTTCTCTCCTCTCTCCCTCCTCTCTTTCTCTCTCTCCTCTCTGTCTCCCTCCTCTCTTCCTCTTCCCTCTCTCTTTCTCTCCGTCTGTCAGTGACCACATTAGGTTCATTCTTGTCTCCCGTCCTCCCTCTCTTCCTCTCCCTCTCTTCCTCTTCCTCTCTTCCTCTTCCTCCTTCCTCTCTTCCTCTCCCTCCTTCTTCTCTTCCTCTCTTCCTCCTTCTTCTCGTCCTCTCCCTCTCTTCCTCCTTCTTCTCTTCCTCTCCCTCCTCCCTCTCTCCTTCCTCTCTTCTCTTCTTCTCTTCCTCTCTCTCTCCCTCCTCTTTCCTCCTTCTTCTCTTCCTCCTCTCTCCTCCCTTCTTCTCTCTTCCTCTCTTCCTCCTTCTTCCTCTCTTCCTCCTCCCTCTCTTCTCTCTCTTCTCTCTCTTCTCTCCTCTTCTCCTCTCCTTCTTCTCTTCCTCTCCCTCTCTCCCTCTCTCTCTCTCTCCTCTCTCCCTCTCTCTCTCTCTCCTCTCTCTCTCTCTCTTTCTCTCTCTCTGTCAGTGATCACATCAGGTTTGTTCCTGTCTCCTCTCCTCCCTCTCTCTTCTCTCTCTCTCTTCTCTCTCTCTTCCTCCTCCTCTTCTCTTTCTCTCCGTCTGTCACTGATCACATCAGGTTCGTTCCCGTCTTTTCTAACGAACTCTTTTAATTGCTCCAGACTCGTCGGACTCGTCGCTCGTCCTTGTGTCAAAGTCGATCAAACCGAGGCTCTGATTAAGTCAATGATAACCTCAGTGTCGCCTGAAGTCACGTTTTAAACCAGATGCCCCGCAGACAGAGGTCACACACACACACACACACACACACGCACACACACACACACACACACACACACACACACACACACACACACACACACACACACACACACACGTATCCCGCTGAGCTTAAGCCGCACTCTGAACATCGACCGTGGTTATGTAAAGAACAGAGCTTCTTTAATCCACGTTTAAAGTCCAAGTCACACGTTTTCATGTTTGTCTAATTATCGCTTTGATTGGCGGGACTGAACCGAGAACTAGAGTGTCTTGCCCGTGGACTGCGTAAAGAAGAGGACAAAGTGTGTGTGTGTGTGTGTGTGTGTGTGTGTGTGCGTGTGTGTGTGTGTGTGTGTGAGACGTCGCCCACAGCGTTTCATATTTGAAATTCTGACTGTGAGGATCATAACGACCAAAGAAAAAGGCTGTGCAAATAACTGAAGTTTGATTTGTGTGTCAAATTATCTCCAAACTCATATAATCGAGATGAAATGATTTATGTGCCGGCGACAGTGTTGGGAGTAACAGATTACATGTACCAGAGTAATCAGAGTACAAATGATGAGTAACTGTATTCAGTTACAGTTACTGTTTCAGTGAGTGGGAATTGGATTACAGTTACTTTGTTGAAATAAATGGATTACACAGAGGGATTTTACTGTTTTCACATTTTGGGCTATTCCCTTCTTTTTTTTTTCTTTCGGTAACTCCACTCATTGCAGGACACTGAATCAGGTTTAAAACCAGGACCAAACCAGGACCAAAACCAGGTCTAAACTAGGTCTAAACTAAGACTAAACCAGGACTAAAACCAGGTCTCAAACAGGATCTAACAGGACTAAATCCTGCTGTGTGGACGTGTCTCCTCGTCTTCTATCAATAATATTTTTAATTTGGTTCAATAAAGTCTGGACTTTTTATTTTTTTTTATCAGACAAAACAAAAAAAAATCTCGGCCTCTATTGTCGATGCGGCTGCTCGGAGCTGTGGGCGTAAGGTCTGTGGTGCCTGTTGCGGCGGCAACCCCAGAACCCGGTGGTGGACACCGGAAGTAAGGGATGCTGTCAAGCTGAAGAAGGAGTCCTATCGGGCCTTGCTGGCTCGGGGGACTCCTGAGGCAGCTGACGGGTACCGGCGGGCCAAGCGTGCTGCAGCCCGTGTGGTCGCAGAGGCAAAAACTCGGAGAAGGACTATCGGACGGCCTCAAAGAGATTCTGGCAAACCGTCCGGCGCCTCAGGAGGGGGAAGAAGTTCTTCACCAACACTGTTTACAGTGCGGGGGGAGAGCTGCTGACCTCGACTGGGGACGTTGTCCGGCGGTGGAAGGAATAACTTTGAGGATCTCCTCAATCCCACCATCACGTCCTCCGAGGAGGAGGCCGAGGCTGGGGACTCGGAGGCGGACTCATCCATCACCCTGGCCGAAGTCACTGAGGTGGTTGGCAAGCTCCTTGGTGGCAAGGCTCCGGGATTGGATGAGATCCGTCCTGAGTACCTGAAGTCTCTGGATGTTGTGGGTGTCTTGGCTGACACGCCTCTTCAACATCGCGTGGCGGTCGGGGACAGTGCCTCTGGACTGGCAAACTGGGTGGTGGTCCCTCTGTATAAGAAGGGGGACCGGAGGGTGTGTTCCAACTATAGGGGGATCACACTTCCTCAGCCTTCCCGGTAAGGTCTATGCCAGGGACTGGAGAGGAGAATCCGGCCGATAGTCGAACCTCGGATTCAGGAGGAGCAGTGTGGTTTTCGTCCAGGTCATGGAACACTGGACCAGCTCTACACTCTCCATCGGTGCTCGAGGGTTCATGGGAGTTTGCCCAACCAGTCCACATGTGTTTTGTGGATCTGGAGAAGCATTCGACCGTGTCCCTCATGGTGTCCTGTGGGGGTGCTCTGGGAGTATGGGGTCCGGGGCCCTTTGCTAAGGGCTGTCCGGTCCCTGTATGACCGGAGCAGGAGCTGTGTTCATTGCCGGCAGTAAGTCAGACCTGTTCCCGGTGCATGTTGGACTCCGCCAGGGCTGCCCTTTGTCACCGGTTCTGTTCATTGTGTTTATGGACAGAATTTCTAGGTGCAGTCAGGGGCCGGAGGGGGTCCGGTTTGGGGACCACAGGATTTCATCTCTGCTGTTTGCGGACGATGTTGTTCTGTTGGCTTCATCAGACCAGGACCTGCAGTGTGCACTGGGGCGGTTTGCAGCCGAGTGTGAAGCGGCTGGGATGAAGATCAGCTCTTCTAAGTCTGAGGCCATGGTTCTCGACTGGAAAAAAGGCATCTTGCCCTCTCCGGGTGGGTGGAGAGTCTCTGCCTCAAGTGGAGGAGTTCAAGTATCTCGGGGTCTTGTTCTCGAGTGAGAGGAGGACGGAGTGTGAGATTGACAGGTGGACAGGTGCAGCTTCGGCAGTGATGCGGTCGCTGTATCGGACCGTTGTGGTGAAGAGGAGCTGAGTCGAAAGGCGAAGCTCTCGATTTACCGGTCAGTCTTCGTTCCTACTCTCACCTCTGGTCATGAGCTCTGGGTAGTGACCGAAAGGACGAGATCACAGATACAAGCGCTTGAAATGAGTTTCCTCCGCAGGGCGTCTGGGCGTCTCCCTTAGAGACAGGGTGAGGAGCTCAGTCACACGGGAGGAGCTCAGAGTAGAGCCGCTGCTCCTCCACGTCGAGAGGAGCCAGTTGAGGCTCGGGCGTCTGTTCTGATGCCTCCTGGACGTCTCCCTCGGGAGGTGTTCCGGGCATGTCCCACCGGGAGGAGGCCCCGGGGAAGACCCAGGACACACTGGAGGGACTATGTCTCTCGGCTGGCCTGGGAACACCTCGGGGTCCCCCTGGAGGAGCTGGAGGACGTGTCTGGGGTGAAGGAAGTCTGGGAGTCCCTGCTTAGGCTGCTGCCCCCGCGACCCGGTGGACGAAAATGGATGGATGGATGGATGATCAGACAAAACTTCTTATGTGAAGATTTCCTCGTCTTTGTTTCTCTACAGCAAATCAAGTAATCCAAAGTATTCAGATTACATTACTCACTTTAAGTAATTTAATGGATTATGTTACAAACTACATTTTGTTGTATGTAATCTGTAATCTGTAGGGGATTACATTTTAAAAGTAACTTTCCCAACACTGGCCGGCAAAAGTGAGGACTGGGGTGTGACAACTGTGGTTTTGTGAGGATTCACCTGGACTATAAATGCTACTTTCTTTTTTTCATGGTTTGGGTGTTTAAAGTGAAATCGAGCAGTAGAAAGAAAGTTTGGAGCGAGCGAGAAATCTGTGAGAGACTGACGGAAAGTGGGGATGGAGAACACAGCTTCACGGCAACCAGGACGGTGCGACATGAAACTCTCCTGAAGTCACTGGACGGACAAAGCCTGGACGTCAGTGACACTGAAACCATCCTGTCGGGATTCAGAAAGACCGAAATAATTCTAACTGGAACTGATGCTGAGTCTGACGACAGCGACACAGAAGAGGAAGCGGTGCTCCGTGTTGAAAAGTAAAATTAGCAGCATGACATCGTAATGTTTTGGTGTGAAGGTAATTTTGTTAATATGAGTTTGAGAAAGTTTCAGGGACTTTGAAAAACACAGATATTTTTTGAAGAAGAAGAAGAATTATTGAGAGTATTGAATGATTACCTCTGCACGTCTCTGGACTGTCTGTGGTTTGTGTGCCCCTCTCTGAGTCCCCCGAGATCCTCCTCTCCACCCGGGCCTGGACCGAGTCTCCGGGCTGGTCTCTGGTCTGGATTAAGTCTCTGGTCTGGACTCCCTCGTCTGAGCTGCCGGAGTTGGACCGTAGACCACAGAAGGTCCTCTGTCCTGGACGCTCGTCTGAGCTCTGAGAGTCACTGCTGCCTCTCTGTCGAACACAAACACAAACACAAACACAAACATAAACACAAACACAAACAAACATAAACATAAACACAAACATAAACACAAACATAAACATAAACACAAACACAAACATAAACATAAACACAAACATAACACAAACACAACACAACAAACAAAACACAAACACAAACACAACACAAACACAAACATAAACAAACACAACATAAACACAACACAAAACAAACACAAACACAAACACAAACATAAACATAAACACAAACACAAACATAAACACAAACACAAACACAAACATAAACACAAACATAAACATAAACATAAACACAAACACAAACACAAACACAAACATAAACATAAACATAACACAAACACAAACACAAAACACAAAAACACAAACACAAACACAAACATAAACACAAACACAAACATAAACACAAACATAAACATAAACACAAACACAAACACAAACATAAACACAAACATAAACACAACATAAACACAAACACAAACATAAACACAAACATAAACACAAACACAAACATAAACACAAACACAAACAAAACACACAATAAACAAAACATCAACACAAACACAAACACAAACATTAAAGAGGGAGTATTCGACTACAAAGGGGGTTGGCTCTAAAACAAATCATATTTAGATCATCATGTTACATTTTATTGTTTTGACAATGTTTATATATATATATATATATATATATATATAATATATATATATATATATATATATATATATATATATATATATATATATATATATATATATATATATATACAGTAGGCGTGGGATGCAATAATTATGATTTATTATTTACAAAGAAAATAATCCATTCAAAATGTTTAAGCATTTTATCACAGTTTGCCAAACAAGGTGGAAAGTTTGTCATTGCACCATGTCGCTGTACGACAATTATACCCACACACACAGTTCTGACTCCAACAACAGTGGAGTGTGAAAACCTCTGCGTCTGCTGGACAGGAAATTTCTATTCAAAAGCTGCCCTGATAGAGGCGCTGACAAAGGCGTTGTTTATTGCAAACTGTGCACAGAAGAGTTTTCACATCACAGAAGCAGCTCAGCCCCACGACACTATTCACACACTAAACATGTGACAGAACAGAACCTGCTGCAGCTGTGGGCAGGAGAATCTGTGTGTCGTTCGTTCATTCTTTTTTCAATATAAAACCAAAAATAAGAAAACGAAATAACAACTGTTTTCGTCTTTATTTGTCTCCAAAACCAAAATGAAAAAACGGATAATGATTCCTTTTTTCAGTTTTCGATTTTGTGTTTAAATGAAGAATGGAAAAAACGGATAACGACCCGTTTACGTGACTTCAGTGACTGTGATGCCGGATTTTACACCACATACGGACTGAACCAGGACTGATCCAGGTCCGAGACCAGACCAGGACCAGACCGGGACCAGAGCGGGACTGAGACCGAGACCAGTGGTCCGAGTGGTTCCGTGTCATCGTCTGCGCGCTGGTTCCGTGTGGGGAAAGTGAGAATGTTCTGTGGACTGCAGGTCTGGACGGGCTGCTCCAGTCCTCCACACTCAAGAACCACGACTGGTTCCGAGGTGGAGCAAAACAAAATATTCTGTAGAGGACCGAGCTTCAATCAGAGGGTGAGAGAGACACCACCGTGGAAGGTGAGAAACACATTTTTTTTTTTTATTTTATGTATATTTCTGGTACCAAATGATCCACAATGTACATTTTTACATTTTTATATTCAACTTCCACTGATACTATAATCTAAATTAATTATTTTTTATGTTAATTAAGAGAAACTGATGTTTCAGCTCAGATTTAAGTCTTCTGCAGACACTAAACCTCAGAGTCTTGGTGGGTCCAGTAAACATCAAAAGAATTTCATGAAATTTCTCATGGAATTTTACATTGTATTTAATTTTACTTTGCAAGTGTAAAAAATTGATACAAGGTACAGATTGATTTCCAAACTGTTTTAAAAAGTTGGGCAATTGAAGTTCTCTAATAGAGCCGCATGTAAAACACCCACTTTACTGCAAAGTATCGACAGGACAGACGACAGAAACAGTGAAAAGGACATTAGAAAGTTAATGCAGTGTGTAATTGAGTCGGTTTGGTTGGAGAAATATAACAGAGGACGGAGCTCGTCACTAATGCGACTGTTCAGGAAAACATTTGTGCATTTTTCTGATAAAAACACAACATCATTTACTGACAGAAGCGTTTAAAGAAGCGACGTGAGCTCATCTGGAAATCTGATTATGTAAATCAAATCTAAAACAGTCAAAAATCAAGATTAAATTCCAGCTCTGGTACACGCACATATGTTTTTTACGACGTTGTCTTGTACTAAATAAATGAGCAGGTCCCAGGTGGAGCTGCGAGGACCGCGTTTCCCAGCATGCCTCGGTGCGCCCGTGGAGGAGGCAGGTGTTGTAATCAGCCTTAAGCGTGTAAACAGTGATTAATACAGATTAGCAGAAATGGAAGAGGTGGAGGAGCCAGACTTTTAATGGGCCTAATGTGGAAGTGTAATAAGACGTGGAGGATGAACCGAAGACGGCGCCGTGTTGTTTTCGGAGACCTGCGCTCGCCGGGCGTCATGACAAGTTTTTTTTTTTTTCTTTCGCATCACTCCCTCAATAGGATCTCAAATTATATTACATAAATTAATAAGCAATTTATAAAAGGAAAACAGAAAGAAAACAATAGCCACGTTTACATGATGTTTGTTCATTCCGAATTAATTGTTCTGAATGAAATCGTTCGGAATTAAAATATTTTCCGTCGAGTTTACATGGAAATAATAATTTGGAATTGAGGTTTACATGGAAAACCTCGTTAAATCGTCTTTATTTAAATCTGCTCAGAGTCTGAAAGGTTCTGATTGGACAGAGACGCCAACGTATTTACTAGAGCCAAACCGATATATCGACTGGATGATATGGGCACTTGGAAACATATCAGGACTAAGTCTACGTTCAGACTGCAGGGCTTAACGCTCAATTCAGATTTTTTTTGTGAAATCCGATGTTTTTTCGAGGTCGTTCACATTTCCAGTTAAATGTGACTTGTATGTGACTCCAGTGTGAACATTAAACGGCCCAAAAGTGTCCCACATGTGACACTGGAGACACGACGACGTCAACCTCAGCGAGCGTCTCTGTGTTTACAGAAGTTGTCCAAACATGGACGCAGCATCGAGCACCTGGAGATTTTAAAGTTCCTCTCGTACCGGAGCCACAACATGAACAACTGACTTGTTTTAAGGAGGAGATTGAGAAGGAGAAGGACGAGGTTTTTGGTCGTGGTGTTTTGTGGTGAGTGGTGATGTGCTTCACTTCAGTCACACAGAGTTCAGTAACAATTTTCTCCTACTTCAGCGCAGAATAGTGACGTTTGTGTCTTGTTGATAACGTGTAGGTGGATGAATGAATTTGACCGTTCACTGAAGTTCACATGTCAAAGATCAGAATCAGTTCAGACTGTGTCAGACCGAAGTCACATGTCAAAAGATCAGATACAGTCCGGTTAAGCAAAAAAATGGATGGACAGAGGGCCTTAGTATAAAGCAGAATGAGCATCTGACACACAGTTACAGTGAGGAAGAGCATCACTCAGAGAAGCAAGAGATCAGACGCATTCAGACTGAAGTCACACGTCAAAAATCAGATATGTATCAGTTTCAGGAGCACAGATCCAAGTGTCCTGGGTCACATTTGAACAAATCAGATCTGTGTGGTTCAGACTGACATTAAAAGATCAGATACAGGAACACAGGGGCCAAAAAATCTGATTTGGGTCACTTCAGGTGCAGTGTGAACGCAGCCTAAGACGACGTTTACACTGAAACGAATCACCATATCGGAATTTGCGTCCAGACACGTCGTTTCTGTGTCTGCAAGCCTTCCCTATCCACACAGCTTTGAGCATATTTGTTTACGTTTTACAGAAACAAAACTTAAAACCGCATGACTCATTTGCAAAACAGTTCGCTCCTTGTGCACACACGGACACAAACACCATCCAAACTTTTTTCCCGCAGTGGTTCTGATGATAATTGCGACGCAGTTGGAGAATTGTCTCGTCACGCTTTACGTCTGTCGGCCGAGGAGGAGAAGGGAAGAGTGTCGGAGAAGGAGGAAGAAGACAAAGTGAGTGTGAGGCTGTTCTACCTCAGCCCACTCCCACATCCTGCTCACAAATCCAGAGAGACGTGGAGGAAAGTCCCAAGACACGACTGGTGGAGCCGGATCGAAGGACGAGACAATGAGCATGAACTGAACCACCGACATTATTTTTAAGAAGATTACCGTATTTTCTGCACTATTAGTCGCTCTGGATTATAAGACGTCATTAAATGGTCTATTTTTGAACTTTTTTCACAAATAAACGTTGTGGGACTTTAAAGGAAACACAACAGTGTGACGGGTGAGTGGTTTTGTTTGTTTGCTGCGTTCACGGTGACCAGTGTCGAGGAGTAACAGATTACATGTACAAATGATGAGTAACTGTATTCAGTTACAGTTACTGTTTCAGTGAGTGGTAATTGGATTACAGTTACTTTGTTGAAATAAATGGATTACACAGAGGGATTTTACTGTTTTCACATTTTGGGCTAAATCCTTTTTTTTTTTTTATTCCACTCATTGCCAGACACTAAACTAAAACCAGGACTAAAACCAGACTAAAACCAGGTCTAAACCAGGTCTAAACCAGGTCTAAAACCAGGTCTAAAACCAGGACTAAAACCAGGACTAAAACCAGGACTAAACCAGGACTAAAACCAGGTAAAACCAGGACTAAAACCAGGTCTTAACCAGGTCTAAACCAGGTCTAAACCAGGTCTTAACCAGGTCTAAAACCACCAGGTCTAAAACCAGGACTAAAACCAGGTCTAAAACCAGGTCTAAACCAGGTCTAAAACCAGATCTAAAACCAGAAACCAGGTCTAAACCAGGTCTAAACCAGGTCTTAACCAGGTCTAAAACCACCAGGTCTAAAACCAGGTCTAAACCAGGTCTAAAACCAGGTCTAAACCAGGTCTAAACCAGGTCTTCTAAACCAGGTCTAAAACCAGATCTAAAACCAGGTCAGTCTAAACCAGGTCTAAACCAGGATTTAACTGGACTGAATCCTGCTGTGTGGACGTGTTTCTTCGTTTTCTATCAATAATATTTTTTATTTTGGTTCTGTAAAATCTGGGCTTTTTATTTTCTTTTATCAGACAAAACTTCTTATGTGAAGATTTCCTCGTCTTTGTTTCTCTACAGCAAATCAAGTAATCCAAAGTAATCAGATTACATTACTCACTTTAAGTAATTTAATGGATTATGTTACAAACTACATTTTGGGGTGTGTAATCTGTAATCTGTAGGGGATTACATTTTAAAAGTCACCTTCCCAACACTGACGGTGACTCTGGGTTTGTTCAGTTGTGGCGTGTAGGGAGTAGTGTCTGTCGCTGGATTGTCGGCGTGTTCGCGGTGACTCAGTTGTTCAGTCGTGTCTAGAAGCGGCACGTCGCGCTCGTCGCTTTTTCGGTTCGTTCCTCCGTTCCGTTCCTCGTCGGCGTGGAGTGATGAGTGTGTCTGTGGGTGTGTTTCTCTGTGCGGTCGCTGTCTGCTCCGTGTGTGTTTGTGTCTTTGTAGTTTACTGAAGTCGTGCTGGGACACCCGAGTGGATTCGTGTATGGGGCGCTCTGGATTGTGGCGCGCAAAGTCGTTTTTTGATGAGGTTGGAGGCTTAAGAGCGCGACCTATATCCCGGAAAATACGACAAACATTTACATGATCCAGGAATAAATTAATTTGGCGTTAAATTTGGAATAAACCGCCCACTTACTTTGGAATTAAGTCTTTACGTGGTCTTTTTTAAAGCAGAATAAATTTTTATTCAGAATTAAATGGCAAAAACGTGGCAAATGACGTCTTTTTTATTTATTAAGTTAGACACATTTTTAAAACACAAATGAAGAGGCACTTTATAAAAGGAAAAAGGAAAGAATACAATGACATTTAGATGAAGAAAACCAGGCTATTTTCTCAGTTTTCCCAGAGTTTGTCAGAGTTACTATCACCAAGAGAGCCCAAAGGAAGTCTTACAAATTAACTATTTTATTGCAATTTCTTTCTTGCAACTTATTTATTCCAATTTTTATATTTTTTACTCTTTGTTACTGTATTATATTGTGATGTGTGGGCGACTGTGTCCAAGTAATTTCCCTGGTGGATCAGTAAAGTTTGTCTAAGTCTAAGTTTGGGCGCTTTGACAGTTTTAAAATTCTAAAAATTTCATGTTGTGAAAATAGAGAAGAATCCTACAAAATCCAGCCGTGGTGAAAGCTGTGGATGTCCTGCCTAAACAAGAGCAGTTTAAATTCCCAGAAGTTGCAGTACCTGGAGCGGCCACTAGTCAAACCAGGACAGAGGGGAGTGTCTTAAACAGGTTTTATTATTTAGAGATATCACAGTAATATGTGACTCCAGCTCCAACACTGGTGAAGCTGTATGTTTCATTTTAAGAGCCGTTAAAGCCCTGGTCACCTAGTGCCTCCGCTCAATTCCATTTCTCTCCAGGAACTAGATCAGGAATCGGAATACAGTAGATGGAAGTGCGAGTCCAGGCACCAGCCAATCAGCAAAGAAACAAACATTCTGTGTTGGCAACGATTCCCGAGATCGAGGATTTAAAGAGAAGCAAAGAGAATGTTTGGTGAATTTTGTCAAGGAGAAAGACGTTATTGTCCTTCTTCCTACGGGATTTGGGAAAAGCTTAATATACCAGTTAGTCCCGTTAGCGGCGCATTACATACGTCACGACCAAACAGCAGCGCTTGGTTAAATGATAAAAAGTACCTGGATACCGTCGAGCAAACAAATCCTAATGCTGTGAGGTCAGACTGTTTCTACGAAGTGAAACCGGCTGATGAATCAGGCTATTAAACTCCCCCTCGAAGCTTTACTCCGCTCCTAAGCAAAATCTAATAAATCCTCCAGAGCGGGCAGTGCTCTTTGTGTTGGGGGACGTGGCTCTGGAGCGATGATTGACAGTCAACCGACAGCCACAACCATCCAACACGGCACAGACCGCTGTGCTCCAGACATTTGTGCTCGGATCGCGCCGTTTCCCTTTTCTCCAAATACGGCGGGACATGGCGGTGCCCGGTCGAGGCGGGACAGAGAGGGGCTCCTCACGTCCCACCCGTAGACACCGGTGTCTGCGCTCGTCATGCAATAACCTGCATCTGACTCATCAGCGCCAT